GGTTTGTGGCTTTTCAAGCTGCAATTAATGCTGCAATTACAGAGGTAAGTGCCTAACTTTAAAGCTATATTTTAAATCTGTATTTTTCTCTCTTTTCTAATATCTGCCTCATCCCCTATCTTAGCCATACAATCTTAGGAGATGATACTTTGCCTCTCATCCTCAGAGAAAATAAAAGCTGTCCAATAGGAATATCTTCCAACTTATAACATAAATCCTGAAAAAACTACAGACCTACAACCCCCTACACCCATTCTTTTCCTTCTTTTTTTAAAAAAAAATTTTTATTTTACTTTAGGTTCTGGGGCACATGTGCAGGTCATGCAGGTTTGTTGCATAGGTGCATACTATATCTGACATTTTTCCCCATGTTATCCCTTGCCACCCTTCCCACCCCCCATTGTCCCTCCCCTACCCATCCCCCAATAACCCCTAGTGTGTGATGCTCCTCTCCCTGAGTCCATGTGTTCTCATTGTTCAACACCCGCCTATGAGTGAAAACATGCGGTGTTTGATTTTCTGTTCTTGTGTCAGCTTGCTGAGAATGATGGTTTCCAGATTCATCCAAGTCCCTACAAAGGACATGAACTCATCGTTTTTCATGGCTGTGTAGTATTCCATGGTGTATATGTGACACATTTTCTTTGTCCAGTCTATCATTGATGGGTGTTTGGGTTGGTTCCAAGTCTTTTCTATTGTAAACGGGGCTGCAATGAACATATGTGTGCATGTGTCTTTATGGTAGAATGACTTACAGTTCTTTGGGTATGTAACCAGTAATGGGATTGCTGGGTCAAATGGAATTTCTATTTCTAGATCTTTGAGTAATTGCCACACTGTCTTCCACAATGGTTGAATTTACATTCCCACCAGCTGTGTAAGAGTGTTTCTATTTCTCCACATCCTCTCCAGCATCTGTTGTCTCCAGATTTTTAATGATCGTCATTCTAACTGGCGTGAGATGGTATCTTAATGTGGTTTTGATTTGCATTTCTCTAATAACCAGTGATGATGAGCATTTTTTCATATGTTTGTTGGCCTCATATATGTCTTCTTTTGAAAAGTGTCTGTTCAGATCCTTTGCCCACTTTTGAATGGGGTTGTTTGTTTTTTTCTTATAAATCTGTTTTAGTTCTTTGTAGATTCTGGATATCAGCCCTTTGTCAGATGGGTAGATTGCGAAAATTTTTTCCCATTCTGTTGGTTGCCAGTTCGCTCTAGTGATGGTTTTTTTGCTGTACAGAAGCTCTGGAGTTTAATTAGATTAGATCCCATTTATCTGTTTTGGCTTTTGTTGCCAATGCTTTTGGTGTTTTAGTCATGAAGTCCTTGCCTATGCCTATGTCCTGAATGGTTTTGCCTAGGTTTTTTTCTGGGGTTTTTATGGTGTTAGGTCTTATGTTTAAGTCTTTAATCCATCTGGAGTTAATCTTAGTGTAAGGTGTTAGGAAGGGGTCCAGTTTCTCTTTTCTGCACATGGCTAGCCAATTATCCCAACACCATTTATTAAATAGGGAATCCTTTCCCCATTGCTTGTTTTTGTCAGGTTTGCCAAAGATCAGACAGTTATAGATGTGGTGATAAAATCTCTCAGCAATTGCTTGTTTATAAAGGATTTTATTTCTCCTTCATTTATGAAACTTAGTTAGGCTGGGTATGAAATTCTAGGTTGACAGTTCTTTCCTTTAAGGATGTTGAATATTGGCCCCCACTGCCTTCTGGCTTACAGGGTTTCTGCTGAGAGATCCGCTGTGAGTCTGATTGGCTTCCCTTTGTGGGTAACCTGACCTTTCTCTCTGGCTGTCCTTACCATTTTTTCCTTCATTTCAACCCTGGTGAATCCGATGATTATGTGCCTTATGGTTGCACTTCTTGAGGAATATCTTTGTGGTGTTTTCTGTATTTCCTGTACTTGAACGGTGGCCTGCCTTGCTAGGTTGGGGAAGTTCTCCTGGATAATATCCTGAAGAATGTTTTCCAGCTTGGATTCATTCTCTCCATCACATTCAGGTACACTTATCAAACATAGATTAGGTCTTTTCACATAATCCCATATTTCTTGGAGGTTTTGTTCATTTCTTTTCACTCATTTTTCTCTAAGCTTGCCTTCTCCTTTTATTTCATTGAGTTGATCTTCAATCTCTGTTATCCTTTCTTCTGCTTGGTCAATTCAGCTATTCAAACTTGTGTATGCTTCTTGAAGTTCTCGTGTTGTGTTTTTCAGTTCCAATAAGTAATTTATATTCTTCTCTAAGCTGTTTATTCTTGTTAGCATTTTGTCAAATCTTTTTTCAAGTTCTTAGTTTCTTTGCATTGGGTTAGAACATGTTCTTTTAGCTCTGAGAAGTTTGTTATTACCCACCTTCTGAAGCCTGTTTCTGTCAATTCATCAGACTCATTCTCCACCCAGCTTTGTTCCTTTGCTGGTGATAAGTTGTGATCCCTTGGAGGAAGAGAGGTGTTCTGGTTTTTGGCGTTTTCATCCTTTTTGTGCTGATTTCTTCCCATCTTTGTGGATTTATCTACCTGTGTTTTCGTAGTTGGTGACTTTCGGATGAGATCTCTGAATGGACTTCCTTTTTGTTGATAATGAGGCTATTTCTTTCTGTTTTTTATTTTTCCTTCTAACAGCCAGGTCCCTCTGCTGTAGGACTGCTGGAGGTCCACTCCAGACCCTGCTTGCCTGGGGATCATCTGTGGCAGGTGCAGAATAATAAGGGTTGCTGCTAGTTTCTTCTTCTGTATCTTTGTCCCAGAAGGATACCCACCAGATGTCAGCCTGAGCTCTCCTTTGTGAGGTGACTCTTTAGATATATGGTGTTCAGGGTACTGCTTGAAGAGACAGTCTGTCCCTTATAGGAGATCAAGTGTTGATCTGTGAGCTCCATTGTTCTGTTCAGAGCTGCTTGGCAGGTACGTTTAAGTCTGCTGCAGCAGAACTTGTACTGTCTTTTTTCCCAGGTGCTCTGTCCTGGGAAGGTGGAGCTTTATTTATAAGTTCCTGATGTGCTGCTGCCTTTTTTTCAGAGATGCCCTGCCTTGCCAGCAAGGAGGCAGCCTTAGTCACAGTCTGCCAGCAGAGGCGCTGTTGAGCTGTCGTGGGCTCTGCCCAGCTGCTGTGTGAACTTCCTTGTGGTTTTGTTTATAGAGGAATAGTTAGAACTGCCTCGGTAATGGTGTTCTGCCTCATTAATGGCAGACTGCCTCTGTAATGGCAGACTGCCTCGGTAACTGTGGACTGCCTCGGTAATGGTGGATTGCCTCAGTAGTGGAGGATTGTCTCGTTAATGATGGATGCCCTTCCCCTAACAAAGCTGGACCATCCTGGGTCCAGCTGCACTTGCTGCAAAACTCTCAATCCAGAGCTTTTCAGATTGCTGGTCTTTGTTGGGGTGGGACCCGCCTAGCCAGGTCATCTGGCTCCCTGTTTCAGCCCCTATTTTTTCAGTTGAATGGGTGGCTCTGTCTCCCAGGCATTCCAGGCGCCAGTTGAAACAGCCACCCAGATTTGTGTGATTTTTTGTGTGGAGATCTGCTGCACCAGCTGAAACAGCGGTGTTGGAAACTCGTGGTGTTTTTCAGCCCAGGAATATCCTGGTCTGTGGGCAGTAATAACTCGTTTGGAAATGCAGTGTACACTTACCCTCTGCGTTGTTCTTCCTGCAAACTGCAATCAATAGCTGTTCCTATTCAGCCACCTGGATCCCGGATATTAACTCTTTACCTCAAATTAATTTTCTTTAGCCCCTAAAGCCCAGAAACCTAGCAGATAAAATTAGAATTCTTTGTATTAGGTAGAGGAAAAAATAAGCTGTAAATTCTCTAAAGTTAATGTTTTTCTGTTTTGCAATTCTGTGCCATATTACATATTTCCTCTTTACTAAAGTTTTGGTTTTCTGTAGTAAACACACTTTTTTTCTTAATACATTGTTATAAAATTTAATTAGTAATTTACTGTTTTTATACTTGATTGACCACAAAAAAAATTTAAAAATAATTAATTTAATTGCCAAAAACTTGGCATATTTATCATGTGCACATAATGTTTTGAAAGAGTATACATTGTGAACTTAGCTAAATCTAGCTAATTAACATATTTGTTACCTCATATACTTATTTTTTGTGGTGAGAACACTTAAAATCTACTCTCTTAGCAATTTTCAAAATACATTGTTATTAACTATAGTCACCATGTTGTACAACAGGTCTCTTGAATTTATTCCTCCTATCTAACTAAAATTTTGTATCCTATGACTAACAAACATCTTCCCAACCTTTCCAACTGCTGCCCTCTCCCTACCCTCTGCCAGGTCCTGGTAGCCAAGATTCTATTCTTTACTTCAGTTTGTTCCACTTTTTAGATTCTCTATATAAGTGAGGTCATGTGGTATTTATATTTCTGTATCTGGCTTATTTTACCTAAGCTAATGATCTTCAGATTCGTGAATGTTGTCACAAACGACAGAATTTCCTTTCTTTTACAAGCTAAATAGTATTCTATTATATATATATACACCACAATTTGTTTATCCATTCTCCATTGATGGACACTGAGTTTGTTGTTTTCATATCTTGACTATTGTGAATAATGCTGCAATGAACATGGGAGTGCAGACGGCTCTTCAATGTAATGGTTTCATTTCCTTAGGGTGTATGCCAGAAGTGTAATTGCTCAATCATATGGTAGTTCTATTTTTAACTCTTTGGGGAACCTCCATCATGTTTTTCATAATGGTTGTACTAATTTACATTTTCACCAACAGTGGCAAGGCTTCCCTTTTCCCCACATCCTTGCCAAACACTTTTTACCTTTCATCTTTTTGATAGCATCCCTCCTAACACATGTGAGGTGCTATCACATTGTGGTTTTAATTTGCATTTCCCTGATGATTAGTGATGTTATGTACTTTTTCACATTCTTGTTGGCCATTTGTTTGTCTTCTTTTCAGAAATGTTTATTCAGGTCCTTTGCTCATTTTCAAATTGGGTTATTTTTTCTTGCTATTGAGTTTGCTATTTTGTATATTAACCTCTTATCAGACGTATCATTTACAAATATTTTCTTTTCACTCTGTTGGTGGCTTTCCTGTTAGTTTTATGAAGAGAGCTTTTGACTTCAAAATTTCAGTCCCTATACTCCCTAAAGGAAGATCATCTAGGATTTGAGGGGGACACAACTGGAGAAATTGAAATACTTAGAATGTTGTATCAGTCTAGATCTGGTCAGGAAAAATGAGTTATTGGAAACGTTGTGGGAGTAAATGGGTTTAATACAGGGATTAGGTATTCACAGATGTACAAGAGTTAGAGGAGAGAAGGTTAAGTTATAGCTAGAAAGTCAGGGAAATAGCCAGTGAGGACCTTAGCCTGATGCACAGAAATGGGTGTTTTTCAAGAAATTTGTCAGTATACTGCTGCAAATATCAGGGATTTTCTGGGAACTCTTCCACCAGTTATTTTAATCTGCCGTAGCAAAGCCATGCTTGTCAAGAAGTCTAAGAGGCAGAAGCTGCTGCATACCTTGAGCCTGTGGATATGCTTGGCTCACGTGACCCAAGAATAATGACCTTGCTTGATTTCTGCTCTCCAAATCTTGCCCAAGTTCTTCTCATTAGCAAAATCTGATACTGAAAAGAGGGTTCTGGGAAATCTAGTCCCTGGTATGTCCTCTGCATTGCAGAGGAAAAGAGACTGTTGCTGATAGAAAAGGGATAATTAACAATCCAGCACAGAGGTCATATCCCTGGTTGAGGTGAAAGATGACAAGAGTCTGGGCAAGAAGGTAATAGAAAAGTGGTAAAAAGATAAATTCAAATAGATTTAAAAAGTTAAATTCATAAATTCTTGAAGTTAAATTGTAATAATTTTTGAGGTCACAGGATGGGGTGAGAAAGGGAGAGAGAGGATTAAGGATGTCTCTCAGGCTCTTACCTTGAGTTCCTGGGTAGATAGTAGAAATGCTAACTGAGATAGAGAATGGAAGTGGGCCAGTTTAGAGGAAAATATAATACATACATTTTGACATCCAAGTGCAGATATATAGTAAAAAGCAGAATATGTATCTGAAACTTTGAAGAAATATCTAAAGACACAAATTTGGGAATCATTAGAATTTAGGTAGGAGTTGAAGCCATGAGAGTGGGTAAGATTGTATGGAAAAGATTTGAGAATAAAAAAATCGTTGGTCAATTATAGAATCCAACTGAAGGAGTCCATAAGTATGCCAAAACAGAATGTTAAGAGGAAGACATGAAAGCCAAAGGGTGGAAGCCAGGGAAGTAGAGGCTTATGAAAAGAAAAGAATGAGCAATAGTTTAAAACAGTGATGAGGCATACCAAATAAGGACCAAAAAGTGTTTGGATTAGATTTGGTAACTAGAATGGTCATTGGTGAATTTCATTGTGAATAGTTTTTGTAGAGTGGTGTGGTGAGACACTGTATTGCCTTAGGTTGGGAAATAAATGTGGGATAAAGAAATGGAAATAGGGAGTAAAGATTATTATTTTGACAAATTTGCCTGTGGGAGATAATGACTGAGAGTGATTCAGGATTGAGGGAAAGCCTCTCTCCCTTTTTTTTTTCTGTCCCTACATTCTTTCCTCTTTTTTTTTTTTTTTTTGAATCAATTTTAGCTTTCTCTTATTCATTTGATAACTTAGAGAAACAGCTGGAATATATGAAATGCCAAGCTTGATAACAGTATTAGCAGGTCTGTGTAAATCTCTTTTGGGAGTGGCGAGGGGATCCTTAGATCCCATTGACAGTGACACCCTTTACTGTGAAGTTCAGGCTTAGTTATGAACTATAATCTGTTACTAATATTAGAAAATGCATTTACCTCAAAATTACTTTATCTTCTTTCAGAATCAGAAATGTTAAAAAAAGAATATAATAGAAAGCCTGGAAAAGTAGAAGCATTGCAAGGTAAAAATAAAAACTTCATTGTTTTGATGATGTTTTAGACTAAAACACAGCTTTGTTTTAAACTAAAAAACATTTTTGTGATCTGAAAATACAAATAGTTATTGTGCAACATTAGAGAATAAATATGGAGAAAACACAAAAATTAAAAATATGTTTATACTCTGAGGGATAATCACCAATATATTATCTTTTTCTATATTTAGATGTATATATAAAATAATTTTTCAGGAATAGGAATATATTCCTTATATAAGTTTATAATCTTTGACCTGACTTTCTCAAACTAAGGTTGAAGTATCAAGGAAACTGGTTTTATTGTCATAGAATTCTTCATCATCTATTTTGAGCTATGATTTGCCTGATTTTTGATTCTCTGACAATCTAATTCCTTGTTTTCTGTCTTCAGAAAATCTCTTAAAATTCCTGGCATGCTAACTGAATTCTTGTTTTCTAAGGGAGTTAATTTTTCAAACATTAAAGAAAAAATTGTCAAGTCTTAGGCACATACATGTGAAAATGCCTGTGGCATGTCTTAGATCCTAACAGATATCTCTAAATATCATGCCCACAATTTTGTGATATAAAACAGAATGATTACCAGTACCAGGAGAAACTTTACCAATGTTTCCTTACTAATTCTACCTCCCTCTGAATGTGAAATAAATTCTCCCGACCTTTGTCTGTACACCTGGCCCTCTGTCCCTAGCTCTGCAAGCCTCAGGGAGACATGTTCTTAAGCTACACTTCTTTCCTTTGTCTGGGAAGCAAATAAACTATGTTTTGTTTTTATTCCTAGTAGGTATTTGCTTTATTATTTCATATTAATTGTATAGATTCTTTGACATTCAAAGGATTTGAGAAAAGCAAGAAGGTAGAAATTTATACTGCAAGTCTTAATCCAATTTCTCCAGACAAATTGAAGCTTCGTCTTCATAAATACATAACTTACACAGTTAAATGTATAATATTACAGGGAATTTATTAAAATACCAATGAAATGAAATACTGAGATGCATTTTACTTTTGCAGCTTTGAGGTCCATTCCATCTGCATATAATCCAAAATCTAATTTCCACATTTTATTATAAAACAGGCATATTTTTTGACATATACAAAGGACAGATCACTGCAATACTTGGGCATAAAGGAGCTGGTAAATCAACACTGCTAAACATTCTTAATGGATTGTCTGTTTCTACAGAAGGTAAGAAAATAATTTTACAAAGTAAGTTGGCTGAAAAAGCAAGTTGTAAATTGATTTGATTATGTAAAAAAGTTTCTCTAAATTGGACTTATATGTACATAAATTTATGAAAATATCTGTATCTCTATTCCACCATTATTTGACATTCCATGTATACTTTGCATTGCTGTGGATACAGATATTTATGTTAAGAGTAATCTGAATTACTCAATATATTAATTAAGCAATTGGAAATGTGAAGTTTCTTTAATCAAAACAAGTTTTTTGAACAAAATCTAAACACTAACATATATTATCACTCTGCATAGAATTAACATTCTGGCATTAAAGCCTTTTAAATTTCTATTTATAGGATCAGCCACTATTTATAATACCCAGCTCTCTGAAATAACTGACATGGAAGAAATTAGAAAGAACATTGGATTTTGTCCACAGTTTAATTTTCAATTTGACATTCTCACTGTGAGAGAAAACCTCAGGGTATTTGCTAAAATAAAAGGAATTCAGCCAAAGGAAGTGGAACAAGAGGTAGAGAAACATGTTGAAATCGATAGCTTTGGAAATAATTTACTTTTGACTATATTTTTGTTCAGCTATTACTTTACTCTTTGATACATAAAACTTAATGAAGTTCTAGAATAATTTCTTTTTATTTTTAGAGAGTAAAAATTGCTTAAAATTAAATATTTGGTATTTTTTTGGATAGGTAAAAAAATTATAATGGAATTAGACATGCAAAGCATTCAAGACATTATCACTAAAAAAATTAAGTGGTGGGCAGAAGAGAAAACTAACATTAGAGATTGCCATCTTAGGAGATCCTCAGGTGAGAGAAACAATATATTTTTACAATTAATTTAGATTCAAGGTTATACTACTATTATTAAAGTCCAACTTCTACTGTAATTACAAAATGTGAGGGAAAATTTATAATAAAGTACCATGCAACCCTGTTAGGGATCTGGTGGAGGACTGTATTGGAGTCTAGAAATCTTACTGGTTTTCATGGTGCTTTCTGAAGATCCCTACTGTGAAGAGGAAGATGCTTTCATATGTTTCCTCCACTGTAGGTTTTGCTACTGGACGAACCAATTTCTGTATTGGATCTCTTTTCAAGGCACTGAGTGTGGAGCCTCCTGAAGGAGAATAAAGTAGACCGAGTTATCGTCTTCAGTACCCAATTCATGGATGAGGCTGACATCTTGGCTGGTGATTCTTGGCTTCTTTATTCCAACTAGTTATTTAAGGATTTAATGTGAGAGTTATTTTTCATAGCCTGTTTTCAAAAGAGGAAAATCTTGTTTGCAGTTCATTTGAATGACTGTATTCTAAAAATGCACTTTGCCTCAGAGGAATTCTGATCTCCCAATTACTTCTTAGACTCATGCTTTATGTATCTTCTTCTTGTCTTTAACTTTCCTGACTGTTTACATTAGTAACAAGTATATTTAAAACATTCTTAAACACCAATATTACCCTTAATATATAGAAAAATCTTTAGCTGGGAAAATTATTTTTGAATTTACGTTCCTTTGTTGCCAATTTAGGAAGATCTTTGTTTACTGAGTGAGGTGTCGAGTGTGAAGATGCAAGATTGGAAAATTAGACATAGAACAACATAGTTTTGCCTAGGAAATAAAGGCAAGTGGGAAGACTAGTTTCAGTGAGCCAGGAGAGTATGTGAATGGACAGTCTGAAAAAAATAAAGCCAGAAAGGGACTCAGTGAAAACAGAATATTTTGTTGTGTATAAAATGGTGCAAAATGTAACACTATCCTCAATTCCTTCATGAATCTGAGGTAAGATAAGTTTTACTTCTTGTATCAGTTATTTCTTGTTTCAATAATGCTGTGTAATGAAACTTCCTCAGAGTCAGTGCCTTAAAACAATAAGTATTTGTTTAGTGCATGAGTTGGAGAGTTGGCAATTTAGCATGGGTTCACAGCCTAAATTTTCAGGTCTTGACTGGATCCACTCATTTGTTAGGGGGTCAAGTAGCCATTGACTAAGGTGACTCAAAATTCGAGGTGTAATTCATTCTCAAGCAGGCTAGCCCAGTAGTATTCTTGTGGCAGTGACTCAGCCTCAAGAGACCAAATCCAAATGCAGAAGCCCATTTCAAGCCTCCACATGCCATTGGCTACAGCAAGTCATATGGGGCGTAACCCTGCAAAGTTACATAGCAAAGTATGTGGACATAGGAAGAGGTGAAGAATTGGGCCGTCGCTGGAAAGTTTTTGTGGCACTGGATTAGTTATGGGGAATGCAGTGAATTTCTGAAGCCTGTTTCACAATAGGCATGGGGATTAGAAATGATACTGCACCCAGGGGCTTAATGACATTACAGTTGCATTTATATTACAAGTGTCATTCAGTGTTTGGTATCCAAAGGAGAGAATATACTATGTAAGGAATTACTCTTTACATAATTTTTTGAATCTTTCTTTCAATTCAGATAGGAAAGTATTTCTGTCTAACAGGAAGTTGAAATGTACCAGATCATCTTTGTTTCTGAAGCAAAAGTGGGATATTGGATATCATTTAAGGTATGTGTTCTAGATGCAGTTATTTTTAAATGAGCGTGTTAATATGAGAGTGACATTTTATAGAAGCTTTTAGAAATATAAGATAGGCAACTTAACTTTTGGTAGAAATTGTTTTGCAATAAATGGCCTAAAATGTCTTCCTCATTAACATTTCCTTTGTTGGTTATCTCTTGGTTTTAAGCATGCTAATTTAAAAAAATGTGTACTTCTCAATACAACATTTTTAAGCCAATATTTATAAAGAAAAAAATTATCTTTATGTCCTCAATAAGCCATTGATTACTTTTAGCAAAACAATTTGCCCTAAAATTCTGTAGTTATATTCCAAATCTAATTGATAGAATGGCAGAATATCACATGGGAACATTTTAGAAAGCATCAAATATTCACAAATAAGCTCTGCAAATAGAAGTTGCTGACATTAAAAGAAACCATTTACTGCATAGAAAGCAACTGTTTACTAAATACTTTATTAATTTTCCAGTTATTCAGAAGCAATGTTTCATGTGTCTTACAGCCTATTATGTTATATATATATATATATATATATATATAACATAATAG